AAGTACACTATCTATACCTATACATAATAATGGATTACTACAATTTGCCATTTTCATTCTTTATTATGCCATTTTGTGTGATGAAAAGAACTTGAAATTTCCTGCAGGACTTGAACACAACTTCAACAAATACAGTGATAACTTCATAACCGATCAAAACACGGCCTACGACTATGAGTCCATCATGCACTACAGGCCCTTCTCCTTCAATAAGAACAACTCCATTCCCACCATCACCACCAAAATTCCAGAGTTCTACAACATCATAGGCCAGTACCTCGACTTCAGCAAGATGGACACTCTCAGGCTCAACAGGATGTACAACTGCTGTATGTCACAAAGAGAATATCTCATGTTAATCTTCTGGTGTGATTTTCTTAGTGTTTTTAAGGTCAACAACAAAACTTTAAAAGTAAGTATACATGTCCTCCCCAGCTGCTCCTCTCACCCTGCTGGACCAGTGTGCATTTGAGTATGCCAGCATCTGTGGGATGATCCAGGCCTCCTCTGATGATGCAGACTGGGTTCATACCCAGAGCAGAGTCGGGGCAGAGGACCACACACTCCTGGGAAGATGCAGAGGTCAGAAATCTGCATAATATTTCTTTTAAAATCCCAAACACTGTTTATTGTCAGTTCAGACAACATGGAAGAAGTGAGTAAAATATAATTGGTGCATACATTTTGTCTGATTGTATAGATAGTGGGTATTTCATGCACTTCAGCACAATGAGTGGGAAGCCTGAGGAGTCTGCTCTGCTGGAATCCAGAATCCTCTACCCCAAGAGGAAGCTCCAGTGTCTGCAGTTCTTCTACAAGATGACTGGAAGTCCCAAGGACAGGCTGGTGATCTGGGTCAAGATGGACGATGGCACGGGCACCATTCGTAAAATGAAGAAAATACACACTTTCAATGGTATTTGATCTTTTTTATATGATTTCTCTGGCAACCTTACTTATCCATCTGTGAATAGAGCCAGAGCTAAGCTAATGATCCACTGGCTGTAGATGGTAGAGTTCATGGACAATTATAAGAGTGGTCTAAATCTTCTAATCTACCTGTCAAGCCATTCTTTTACAGTAAATACAGTAGAATAGGGACGGATGTTCACAAAACTTAACAGCCTCCCTACCCTATAACTTTAGAGGTGAATATTGCCAAAAATAAAGCGATTTGCCATCTTGACCTTGTACCTGTTACCCAGCGGATTCTGACCACACCTGGAAGATCGCCCATGTCCCTCTGAAAGAAGGTGAGAAATTCCGCTATGCCTTCCAGGCAGTGCGTGGTGACCCCTCAGCGTCCTCTGGTGGCATCTACATTGACGACATCAGCCTGACAGAAACGCGCTGCCCCAGTGCCGTATGGAGAATCCAGAACTTCTCACAAATCATGGAGACGGCTGATGCCACCACAGTAATTGACAGCCCTCGCTTCTACAGCCCTGAAGGCTATGGTTACGGTGTGCGTGTCATTCCTCGGTCGAGTTACGCTGATTACACAGGGAGCTACACTGGGCTGTACTTCCACCTGGCCAGCGGGGAGAATGATGTGGTGATGCAGTGGCCAGCCGTTAACAGACAGGCCACCTTGGTGGTGATGGACCAAGACCCTGACGTACTGCTGAGGATGTCCACTGCTCGCAGCTTAACTACTGACATGAGGAAGAGTAAGTTCTCCCTATCTGGTGTCCTGTACTGCCACATTATACACACGGCCAGGAAGTACAGTAAAAGCTATGCACTTGCTTGTAGGGTGATGCCACAACTTTAGGAATCAGCAAAAAAGAAAATGCATTATTTCTCATATCACAGCTAGAAGGCAACACACACACACACACACACACACACACACACACATATAGCATTTCCATCTATGTATAATTTAGGAACAATCAATAACATCACTGTATTTGTCTCAGTACTTTCCCGCTTCTGCAACTTGTTTGGAGCTGTCAGTCCTGAGACCATTGGTTCCTACAAGATTAGACAATTAGATCATAAATATATTATTTTTCCTTGAAAATGACTTAATACTTTTCCTGAGTTCCCAGATAAGCAGGTTGTTATTTATAGTAAAATACTGCAAACACACATAACAGATTACCACCATTCACTGAGTCCTTCCTGAAAACGACTTGACATTTATACAGTCCTACCAAACCACATTTTAACCCTGGTTCAACTGCTCTTGGTCCCCCTGGGAAAATTCCGACACTTCCTGCCCCTCCATCACAGGTGATTCTGTGTTTTTCTGTGTCTTAGCACCAGATGGAAAATATTTTTGGGACGATCCATCCAAGGTGGGCTACAAAGACCCTTCCTGTGACTGCTTCAGAGGTGGATCATGGGGCTGGAGTAACTTCATCAAGCACTTTGACCTCCGGCGGCGTAATTACCTCAAGAACGATGACCTCATCATCCTCATCGACTTTGATGGTTTGTTGATCTGTGTTTAGTGTTCATGTGGACATGTCTAATACTGTGTATACTAAAACTGTCCTAAATTATTGCCAAGTTTGTTGCTCAGCGTATCAGAGAGCAGAAATGATGAGTGTTTTCATCCACAGACATCACATCACTGATCAAAACAGAAGTTCCCATTAAGCCGATGGAGTAAAGACACACATGCTGTTTTAACACAATGAACTGAAGGTGAGATACTTTCATCCCTGTGAACATTATGTCCCACTTGTATGCACTTCTGCTAATGAGAAAATACAATAATTGTGTTTTTTTGTATTTGAAATGACCAGATTTGCAGCCGAGATAAGAAGAAAAACCTGTTAAGCTGGAGAAGCAATGGAAGATTCCTGCTGTGACACAATGTCAGAATTACACACATAATAAATAAAATGAAATGGTTATATCTGGTATGTCATTTCTGTAAAAGTTCAAATACATATATATAACAGGTTTTGAAATGCATCATTATTTAATTATTTAAATAAAGTTCAGTCTATATTGAACTGTTATAAGAGCTATAAGAGCAACCCTGTGGTATGTTTCTCTGGAAACCTCCAGCCCATAAAAGTCAAGGAATTCACACATGAATCACTTAGCTTTTATTTACATTTAAGAATATAAGATAAATATACAACAACAAGGGTATATGTGCTCAGGACCAACTGTCAAATGCTGCTATTTATTTTCCACATAAGTGGAGAACATCCTTCACAGCAGCAACGATAGCACTGGTACAGTAACTAGAATGGCACTCAGTAGAGCACATACCTCCATAATGTGTTAGGGCCCAAATAGAGAATAAATACAGGCAACAAGAATAAAAAACAAATTAGAACTACACAGGAACATTTAGAAACAAAACACAATGACACAGAACAAAGATTAAGACAGTCAATACATCCACGAGTGATATGAGTGAGCGAGTGGTGTAAACCATCTCAAAGTACCAAAGTGAAATTCAATCAAACTGCACCAAATGTCACACAGTTAATCAACATCCATGAATTATTCTCTGGTAAAATGGTGAAAATGTTGAAAAATACCATATTACAATATTGAGGAAATCCCTGGAATTTGCTCCCTGATCTAGATCCACGTACAACTTGAACGCTTCTCTGCTTGATCCACACCACATGCTTCCCAGTTTGATAATAAAGTGTTAATCTGTGTGAATCTATTTATGAGTGCTCTGCAAGCACAAGCTTTCTGAAATGACAAGAGACTGTGGACTATCATGTGGACTATCAGAGTTGATATAGGTTTTGTTAAGTTGGGGAGTCACTTGTTGGTCCATTGTTAGAAATATTGTGTGTGTGTGACTGTGTGTTTTCATTCATACTTTGTGGTATGAAGATTATTATCAAGATTTTTAAAAATCCCAAATTGTAAAGACTTGCCTGCAGTGAAGATATATTTCAAATGTTTTTGTGGTCCATCTATTTACGGTATTGGTAGCATCATAAAAATATATTTTTAGAATTTGATTTAGCAAACTAAAATGCAAAAATATTGATTAATTTAATCAAATGCATTGTCCCCATTCATTTTATGGGTTTTTACAAATACATTTTAGAGATTTGCTTGTTCTATGGATGATGTTATTGCCTCTGATCCTTGACAAGGTTCTTTGTATGTACGTGAAATTTTGTTTGTCTGGTCATGTCTGCTGTGTGGAGTGGTCTTGTTCACTCTGTGTGTGTGTGTGTGTGTGTTTGTGTGTTTTTCTGCTGTTGTCAGGTCAGGTCAGAAGACAAAATTGTGATAAGGTCATCACAATTTTATCTCAGCCTAAGATGAGATAAAACTCTGAGATTGCAGATTTATAACAGAAAGCCTGCATGTGCAATCATACGTAGAGAGGGTTAAACGAGAACACATACACCTTTTTAAACTTTGACCATTAGTAGAGAACTCATCTTTTATAAATTATTATTTTTCATTTGTGAGGGACAGTACAGAAAAACACAGTTACACAAGCACAACATACATGGAGTATACAACCAAAGCTTATTTCCCAACACCAGTCCTTAGAAGGGTCCAATATTCATATGTGACAGCTTGAAGTATTTGAATGTATCAATGCATATAAAATCAGTGCATATAGAGAAGCCACCATTTACGAGAAAACGCACAAACAAAACAAGGCAACACAGACAATTTTTTAAATCTGTCGCCTGTGAGCCCCTGAACTTTATGGAAGTACAGTAATACATTGATACAGACCTACCTTTGATATCAGCCAAATCAGCTGTGTTGACATCTGATATCGGACAGTGCAGTAAATTAATATATCAGTGGAAATTAATAAACCATAAATGGCATAACTGCCGTTTAATTGGCTATAAAATCAGCTCGTATCGAGATGTGTACTGACCCTCTGCCTGTGTTCAGGGTCGATGGTTTACTGCTGTCACTGCCTGAGCAACTGACAACAGGTCAGCCGCCTGAGCGACGGCGAGGACACGTGTGAAATGCTTGTTACTCATTAAACACAATAATCCTGATCAAAGTTCCTCCTCAGCTGCTGTCTTCATGGACGTGTTGACCGTGGCATCAGGGAGACCCGCTGCTCTTCAGACAACACAGACATGGCCTCTGGAGACAGTTTGTGGACAACTGCTGTGCTGACCGGCATCTTGGCGGTTTTGATGGTAGAGAATTCTATAATTGGAAATTACACTTACAAACAGTTTTCTCTGTGGATGTTTAAAAGTAAGATGTAACTCTCTTTGTGCGCTAGGTGCAAGCTGCTCCGGCATTTACAGGTTAGCTCTAATTGACTTTGCTGATCGAATACACATAGAAGAAACTCTTTGTTTATCTTTAGCTTTAACAGAACATGTACATTCCAGGTGATAATGCAGATGCAGGTGAACTGAGGGACGACATACTTGAGATCAACAGAGGTAAACATCCAAAGCCTGTCCGTGATAATGCACTTTGTTCAATTATATATTTATATATGCAGAATTTCTCATCTCTGACAGTGGTTATGTTCAATTTTTAGATTTAAAACATCTGTTTGAGGGAGACATCGCTGGTAATGTAAGTATACACACTGTGTGGAGATTACTTTTGAAAAGTACATAAACGTACACATCCTCAGACTCTCATGTGTCGTGCAGCCCAGCAGAAATGCAATCCTTGATGAAACAAGAAGATGGACGTTTCCCATTCCTTACATCTTAACTGACTCTTTAGGTACACTGGGCATCATTTCTATTAAGATGTAATCTGATGGAGAGCTAAAACTTGGGCTGACTGGGAAATTCATTTCCATATCTTTAGAACTGAATGCCAAAGGTGTGATCCTCCAGGCGTTTGAGGAATACCGCTTGAGATCGTGTGTGGACTTCAAGCCATACGAGGGAGAGAGCACCTACATCTCCTTCACCAAGCTGTCAGGGTGAGTTGCAGTGCTCCGGTTTGCTGCACAACTTTATGGGCCGTGCTGTCAAGTCATGAAATTTGAGGAATTAAGAACCGAAGATAAGACTCTGCTGATGCAACAAAAAGCTCATGATACAGAAAGAGAGCTGATTTTCCATTTTTGTCACTCCAGATGCTGGTCGTACGTTGGCGATGATAAAAAAGGACAGAATGTGTCCATCGGGGCCAGATGTGACACAAAGGCCATCGTGCAGCATGAGCTCCTCCACGCTCTGGGCTTTTACCACGAACAGTCCCGCTCGGACAGAGACAACTATGTTAAGATCTGGTGGGACCAGATTGAACAAGGTGGGTCAAAAAGTACATCATCCGTGTTTCATTCAGGGACAGTTTGAGACATGCCAAGGCATTGATTCCAAATTCCCCCCAGCAGAATCCGCACCCATCTGAGAAAAAAAGCTAACTCTATATCTAAATTCAAACTTTTTTTTTCATTTGAATTTGATTAAAATGATTGTTGTTATATTAAACAATCATTCACAGACTCATTCACGACCCCCTAATCAATTTAGAGACTTCTATATAGATGAGGACTATATAGTAAGCTCGTCTGCAAAAGACAAAAGAAACACTTTTGAGAAACTCTGCACATTTTCTCTTCGCCAGAAATGATGTCTTTGTCACAAGGATCATGACGTTCAACAACTAATTTACAGTGGAATATTCCACAATATTAGTAATATAAGGGGAAAAGCACATTGAATGACCACGTTTAAATGATGAAATAAACGTGTGTGCCCTTCTTTGTGCTGTGATGCACTGCTATGTTCTTATTACATATTTTACCACCACAATTCTCAGATTTGTCTCGTGGCGGTCATAAAAAGAAACAATGGTTTTGGAAACATTAGAGACATATGCTCAAACAGACTGTTTTAAAAATTGGTTTGCCATAGTTGTCTGCTATATAATTGTTAAAACCATGTATGTATAACTTTAGTTAACGTTGGTCAGTGACAATGTTACTCTCCCCTTACAGGGATGGAGCACAATTTCAAAAAGTATGAGGATGACATCATCACAGATCTGAACACGCCATATGATTACGAGTCCATCATGCACTACAGGCCTCTGTCTTTCAACAAGAACGAGAGCATACCCACCATCACCACCACCATCCCGTACTTCAACGACGTCATTGGCCAGCGGCTGGACTTCAGTGCTGTTGACATCACCAGGCTCAACCGCATGTACGACTGTGGTGAGTGTCTCCTCCCTGCTGGTTCTAGTGTGTTTAAAAATCTTTGCTTAAAAATTAAAGTCACATCATATTTACCTGGTGACCATGGAAACAGTTTAGCTATGTGGCCTCCTGGTCTGTATTGGTGCTGCTGAAACTAAATTACATTTACATTCTTAATTTGCACCAATCCATATTTGTGGATTAATGATTAATGACATTTCCCATTCTAAACTTGTTTGTTTTCTTGTTTCTCTGTGGTAATGCCCTAGAGATCCTTCTGAATTATTCCTTGTCATCAGTGAGTCTTAAAATATACTGTCACTTTTTATTGTTTGTGTGCTGGAAGTTGTGTACAGAGCTTTTTCTAAACAATTTATGATGCAGAGGATAGTTAGAAAACTTAGTTTCATCCAACCTGGTTTATCAGCAATGAAGATTTATAATCAATGACTGTTGATAATCTTTCTGTTGCAGCCAACACACACACCCTCCTGGACCAGTGCTCGTTTGAGCTCATCAACATCTGTGGAATGATCCAGAATGAGGACGACAACGCAGACTGGGTGCAGACGCTGAGCAGTCCAGCCGACACTGATCACACTCTGGCAGGGCGCTGCAGAGGTGCTTAGCATATTTGCTCTTCCCCTAAATAGAGTTACATCAGACATGAAGTTCAATGAACATAATGTAATCAAATAAACTGAAAAAACTGTGCCCGAAAATGTTACACACATATGAATAGCCAACATACATTTTCTTATACCATGTAACAGGGTCTACATTCTGGTTCCATAGCAAATGAAAACAGATGAAAACGGCATGTCAATGGCAAGTCATGACACAACTGATGTTAAACAGACATAAACTAAAATACAATAAAATAATGAAAGGAGAACTCAGGCAGCAGCTGATGTCTTATGCAGAAGAGTTCAATGTAGACTTGATGCATCAAGGAGACCAGAAGGAGACCAATATACAAACACTACCACAGTAACATGAGCAACTGTAACCCCCCCAAGTCTCAAGATGTCTCCCACAGCCTCCCCATATCTCTCCTCTACTTGTGTCACCCATTCTAACAGCACAACAATGAATGGCTAGAATTGCTGTCACTCTCTATGTTACATGTAGGTGTTCACATCCTATTGGATAGTTAAGTCTAAGTATTCATTCCTAAACCACATTGTGTCCTCATGTCTTTCCAATGGTGGAATACACAAACGAGTTGAGGTTGTTGAGAGTTGAAGTTGGTGTCTCTGTCTGGAGCATCTGAGTTGGAGATGAAAGTCCCTCAACTTAGACACTACAATGTTCTGTTGGTTGGTCCTTTATCTATAACCTGACCTTGGTACTGCTTAGAGAGAGAAGGGAGTATCTGTGGAATGAGATAGGCACTCTTCTCTTAATGGTGTACAGATAGAATGTAATATACACTATATATTCACAATACGGTATATAGTGGCATATACAGTAATACATTTCTCAACAATTACCACTTCCTTCTTTTAGATTCTGGCTACTTCATGAAGTTTGACACAGCTTCAGGTGTGATTGGCAACAGTGCCTTGCTGGAGTCACGTATCCTCTACCCCAAAAGAGACGAACAGTGCCTGCAGTTCTTCTACAAGATGAGCGGAGGGGCTGGGGACAAACTGGTGATATGGATCAGGACTGATGATGGGACAGGAACTGTGCGCAGTGTCAGGAAAATCCACACCATCACTGGTATTTTTTCAATCATTTGCTACCTTCTAAACAAGTTTCTTGCTTTTCTGTGTTGTGGTTGGGTTTATTGCACAAATATTTGTGTTTTTTTGTCTCTCAGGTGATGGAAGTGACGCTTGGAAAATAGCCCACGTGACCCTCAAGGTGACAGAGAAGTTCCGTTACTTCTTCCAAGGCATCAGAGGGTCATCCGAATCATCAGGCGCCATCTTAATTGATGACATCACTCTCACAGAGACCACTTGCCCCAACGCCGTCTGGCAGATCCAGAATTTCACCGGGCTCCTCGACACAACTTCTCCTGGAAGCGCTGTCAAAAGCAATTGTTTCTACAACTCTGAGGGCTACTCATTCGGCGTCAGTGTTTATCCAAATGGAAAAAACCCTGCATATCCAGACTATGTTGGCATGACCTTGCACCTCTGCAGTGGAGAAAATGATGCAGTGATGCAGTGGCCAGCTGCAAACAGGCAGGCGACCATCGTTGCCATGGATCAGGATCCTGATGTCAAACTGAGGATGTCTTCAACAAGAAGCTTCACCACAGGTAGGCCGACATCACAGGCACCGGAGACACAGAAAGTTCACAAGCAGTGATAGTTTCGGCTCATGATTTTCTGCCTCATCCAAAAACAATGGAAAGTGAGTTTGTTGAATCTCGGTTTTACAGAGACTGTAGACACTAGTCCCAATGACAATGAGGTCTGTGAAATGACATGTTTGGCCCACAAGACAGACTTAATTTAGAATTATTTGGACACCATTAACATGTGAATAGATTTGAATTGAATTGAAGAGAGAATGACTATTCTTGTGGTTCTACCACCTTATAAGGTCCATACTGAGCAAAGCATAT